TCCAACTAACTACAAGTTACTTTGACTTCTTCTTGACTTAAAACTTCAAACTACAAAACTCCAGCTATATGACAAACCACCAAATTCTTTGTGACTTGATGTAAATGTTGCTGATTTTAGACACTTATAGTGTCACCATTTTCTTGTTTTTCTGGTGGTTGTCAAGTTAATTTCAAATTTTGCTTCAATACAGTGAATTTCAGATATTGAGGTAAAAAATGTTTGGTTGATGAAAATGACAAAGATGAACCTCTGTTTAGTAAAAGCCAGGTTCCAAATAAATGCCAGTTCAGATAAACCCAGTCTCTACAAGGCTGATTGCTAAATAAGCACCCCTGGTAGTTAATGGAAAATACAATGTAACCCAAGGGGAACAGGTGTTTGCTGTGACAATCTCAAATGGGTGCATTTTCAATTTCTCCCCACTGTATGTAAAACTGATCCATTTATTTGAATCCATCAAAGTTCTTTAACCTTATTTACAAGATATCGTGAGACAGCTCAGGAAGGTTATTTAAGTGACGACAGTCAGCAAGAAGAAAATAACATCACACAACATGAAATGGACAGTGATGATGAGGAGGAGGAGGAGGATGAAAAATAACAATATTACTGGGAGTGATTTCAAAACACTCAGGCTGCCKATGATATAACTTAACYTTAAAGGCTATAAGTAATGAACTTATAGTCCTGTGCATGTATGAACTGCAGGCTGTAGGTACATGTAATATTATTTCAATAAACAGTCTTAGAAAATGAACAATTTATATGTATTTATATGTTGCAATACAATGCACATCTTTGACAATCTCAATTCATCAGCTGATGTATTGATATTACTGCTGATTGCCAATGGCAAACAAGCATATTGTTCAGTACCATTGTTTGTTAGCATTTGCTTCGACGGACTGAATGTTCATGTTTATAGCACAAGCTAGATTTCGAGACTCAAAAAATTGGCTGAGACCCATCATTGTTCAAGGACCATTCTATAGCCATAGCTTAACATTGCCACTTTTATAGTAACTTCATCTCCACTTTATTGACATGGACTGATACATGTAGATATGGAACTAAATTCTTGCAATTATGGTAACGCATCCAGTATGACTGACATGTTCCCGAAAACAGCAGCATTACATGTACGTTGATGCACTGCCACCACTCCATTATAACAATAATTTCTTTTAAGTGCTGGGACACACAATAGCCTAAT